CCGCTCTTCCGCCTCCCCTGACGCTGTGAAGTTCTGTACCGCAAGGGTAGATGGGTCAGGACCCTAATCCTCCCCGCCCCCCCATCCCCCCCAGGCCTGCTCCCAGCCCGAAATACTGCCACTTCTAACCCCTCCTCTCTCGGTCAACTCCTTGAGCCCCTCTGATTCCCTCCCCTCCCCTCCCCTTCCTTCCACAGCTGTCCTTGAACCCTGGGCCTTTCTTCCTTGTCAGAGCCCACTTCCTCCCTTATCTCGACTCCCCCCTTCCCCAGCCAACTACCCTTCCCCTCCCCCTAGGGCCGCAGACTTCCTGTTGAGAATCTCTGGGGCCTCACTTCCACAAGAAAAGGAGGAGCCCTGCCTGCTAATCCTGCCTCCCCTGCTTGCTCAGGGGGAAATGGGAAGGGGATCAGGCTAAGACTCACAGTTCCTGGGAAGGGGAAAGGATGGGGGCAGAAGAGGAGGCACCGTTGCCCCGATAAGTCTGGTACCCCTGGGACTGGCTGGGAAGCCACAGAGGAAGGAAATGGTTAAAGTGGCTTCTCAGCTGGCCTGGGTGCCAGTCTCTGGTCTGGGTATTGGAGGAGGCAGGCATACCCAGCTGTCCCAAGAGCCCCCACCTGGCACCTCTGCTCTGCCACCTGCAGACTGAGTCTTCCGGTCATCTCACTTTCACTGTGTACCTTTCTCCTGGGCCTGCTCAGCCTCTGTAGCTCTGTCTCCTAGTGAGTTTGCCTTCAATTCTCATCTCATCTAACTCTCCATTTTTCTGTGAGTGTTCTGCCTCACCCCTGTCTCAGGCACTGCTACTCCATGGGCCCTGCCTCTTTAAGGCATAAACAAAGAACAGCCTAGCCCAGCCGGTGTGGCTCAGTGGTTGAGTGTAGACCTGTGAACCAGGAGGTCACAGTTCAATTCCCAGTCAGGGCACATAACCGGGTTGTGGGCTTGATCCCCAGTGTGTGGGGCATGCAGGAGGCAGCGGATCAATGATTCTTTCTCATCATTGACATTTCTATCTCTCGCTCTCTCTCCCTCTCTGAAATCAATAAAAAATATATATTTAAAAAAAACAAAAAAACACAAAGAACAGCCTTGTTTTTGACCAGCCAGAGAGACACCCACTCCTCAGCATCCTTCTTGGCCACTGAGGTAATTCACTGAAACCCACAGGTTTCCAACTCCTTCCCTCTACTTCCCCAGTCACAGGCTAATGCATACCTAGGAACACACCCCTGGCACCCCCCAACTCCAACTCAGGGACCTAATCATACACTTTCTGCCATGGATTGCCCCCCATTGTGATAGTATTAGAGATAGGGTCTCTGGGAAGAAATTAGGGTTAGATGAGGTTATGAGGGTAGAACACTCATGATGGGATTAGTGCCCTTATAAGAAGAATCATAAAAGCTTGATCTGCGGCCCATCTGAAAGCCAGGAAGGGAGCTCTCACCAGGAACCAAATCTGCTGGCACTTAGGCCTTGGACTTTCCAATCTCCAGAACCGAGAAATAAATTCCTGTGTTTAAGCCAACCAGTCAATGATATTTTGTTATGGCAGCCTGAGCTGACACTTCTCGCATGTGTACATGCACAATAGGTCCCTCTACCTATACACAAGCATGAGTCCCAACAGAATATACTTCCTCCAAATTCATAGTCACAAGTCTTGTCCATACACACACACACACACACACACACACACACACACACACACACACACAATAGATATAAACTTGAATGCACAGGAATCTTGCATGTGTGATTGTCCACACACACACACAATCACACACAAAAGTCCTATGTGCACAGACTCAGTCACACACAGGACTGCAGAGTGCACCCAGAAAAATCACACATGTGCCCACACATTCATCCATACATATCCAGGCTGCATATACACCTATACATGGCTCAAAGGCCACAGGCCCATTTTTACCAGTTGCTTGCACCATGCACAGCTTGGATGTGAGAGGATGCACTTCTTGCAGGATGGGGCTGGCTTGCAGGATCTCAGCAGGGACAGATCAGGATCACCCCATTCTGTGGCCTCCCCTGGGGATGAGATCTTGGCGTCTAGTTCACTCTCACTTCTGCTCAGAACCAGCAGGAAAACAAGAACCATTGACAAAGCCACCATGGCCTGAAATTGGATATGAAGGGAGACATGTCAATCATTAGGGAGGACCCACCTAAGTTCTCAGTCCTCTAAACTTAGCCTGTGGTTGTCACTCTCAAAGCTCTACCCCAGCTCTTTATCTCCCCTCATAGTTTCACTTCCCTGTGTGGATTCAGCAGCTTCTTCAAAATGGCAAGAAGGGGCAAGTACTGGGTCATGACCCATCTCTCCTATGTGCAGACTTGAAGAGCCCAAGGTGGGCCCTAGCCAGTTTGGCTCAGTGGATAGAGCGTCAGCCTGCAGACTGAAGGGTTCCAGGTTTGATTCCGGTCAAGGGCATATGCCCGGGCTCGATACCCAATAGAGGGCATGCAGGAGACAGCCAATCAAAGATTCTCTCTCATCACTGATGTTCCTCTCTCTCTCTCTCTCTCTCTCCTTTCCTCTCTGAAATCAGTAAAAAATATATTTGAAAAAAGAGGCCAGGGTGAGCAAAATGGCCTAGCCAAGAGTCTGGGGACTGGGCCTGGAGGCACCATGGTCTACACACAGGTCTGTTCAACAAGATTCCAAGTCACAGTGGAAATAGAACCAAAAGGGAAACAGACCAGATTCTGGTCCTGCCTCAGTCACTCGTTGGCTGTGTGGCAGGTCAGACTTTTTCTCTGGGCCTCATTCCACATCTGTAAAGTAAGGGTATTGAATAATCTGACAGCTCTTATAGCTTTTATAATCTTGGATTTTATATAAGGGAAGAGTGTTAGAGGCTGTAAATAAGGGGCGGGAGTCTGAGTGGAATGATAAGAAATAAAGCTGGGGCAGATGAGGGAATATGTGAAAGGCACGAAGATTAGCTGTATTTGTTTAACATGGTAGCAAGAGAAATAAAGATTAGAGCATAAGAACTTTCTGAAGGTCTGGAATAGCACAGGAAGGAAGGGCAAGGGGTGATAAAATTTTTTCTGTGCTTTGCACAAAGGGAATCTAGAGTGGAGAAAAAGCCTGAAGGCCCGGCCAGCATGGCTCAGTGGTTGAGCATTGACCTATGAACCAGGAGGTCAGGGTACATGCCTGGGTTGAGGGCTCAATCCCCAATTGGGGGTATGCAGGAGTGGGTATGCAATGATTCTTTCTCATCATTGATGTTTCTAGCTCTCTCCCTCTCCCTTCTCCGATTCAATAAAGATATTTAAGAGAGAGAGAGGGGAGGAAGGGAGAGAGAGAGAGAGAGAGAGAGAGATCAATGTGAGAGAGCCTGAAGGCAGGGTAATTCCTGGAACGCCCTCTAGGGAATACCAGGTAAATTTCTGATTTTAAAAAACATATTAATGAAAATTTTGAATGGGCAACCCATTACCATGCTTCAAAAATAAAAATAAAAAAGCCTTAGCTGGTTTGGCTCAGTGGATAGAGCATCAGCCTGTGGACTGAAGGGTCCGGGGTTTGATTCCAGCAATGGCACATGCCCAAGTTGCTGGCTCAATCCCCAGTAGGGGGCATGCAGGAGGCAGCCAATCAATGATTCTCTCTCATTATTGATGTTTCTATCTCTCCCTCTCCTTCTCTGAAATCAGTAAAAATATATTTAAATAAAGATTTAAAAATCCTATTGGCCTTTTTTTTACATAAACGGAAAAGCTGATTCTAAAATTCATATGGAATTGCATGAATAGCCAGAACAATCTTGAAAAAGAACAAAGTAGGAGGACTCACACTTCCCAACTTGTCACAGGTCAGTGTGGTGCTGACATAAGGTCAAGCATATAGATTCATGGAGTAGAATTGAGAGTCCAGAAGTAAATCCATCCACTTATGGCCAATTGATTTTCAACAAAGGTGCCAAACCATTCAATAAAGAGAAAATAATATTCAACAAATGGTGCTAGGATGACTGGATATCCACATGTAAAATTATGAAGTTGGGTAAGAGATCAACTGAAGGACTTGTATGCATGCATATAAGCATAACCAATGGACACAAGACACTGGGGGGTAGGGGAGGCCGGGGGAA